ACACCAAAGCAGGTGTTAGGACAACCCAAAATGTGGCACCAGAGGCCAGCAGGGTTAAAACTGATCCTACACCAAAGCAGGTGTTAGGACAACCCCAAAATCTGCTGGTACTAGATGCCAACAGGGCTAAAGCTGTGATCCCACACCAAAGCAGGTGACAGGACAACCCCAAAATCTGGCACCAGAGGCCAACAGGGCTAAAGCTGTGATCCTGCACCAAAGTAGGAGTTAGGACAACCCCAAAATGTGGCACCAGAGGCCAGCAGGGTTAAAACTGTGATCCTACACCAAAGCAGGTGACAGGACAACCCCAAAATCTGCTGGCACCAGATGCCAACAGGGCTAAAGCTGTGATCCTGCACTAAAGCAGGTGTTAGGACAACCCCAAAATCCGGCACCAGAGGCCAACAGGGTTAAAACTGATCCTACACCAAAGTAGGAGTTAGGAGAACCCCAAAATCTGGCACCAGATGCCAACAGGGTTAAAACTGATCCTACACCAAAGCAGGTGTTAGGAGAACCCCAAAATCTGGCACCAGAGGCCAGCAGGGTTAAAGCTGTGATCCCGCACCAAAGCAGGTGACAGACAGGACAACCCCAAAATCTGGCACCAGGAGCAGCAGGGTTAAAACTGATCCTGCACCAAAGCAGGTGACAGGACAACCCCAAAATCCGGCACGAGATGCCAACAGGGCTAAAGCTGTGATCCTACACCAAAGCAGGTGTTAGGGTAACCCCAAAACCTGCTGGTACCAGATGCCAACAGGGCTAAAACTGTGATCCTGCACCAAAGCAGGTGTTAGGACAACCCCAAAATGTGGCACCAGATGCCAGCAGGGTTAAAACTGATCCTACACCAAAGCAGGTGTTAGGAGAACCCCAAAATCTGCTGGTACCAGATGCCAACAGGGCTAAAGCTGTGATCCTGCACCAAAGCAGGTGTTAGGAGAACCCCAAAATCTGGCACCAGAGGCCAACAGGGCTAAAGCTGTGATCCTGCACAGGACAATCTGTGATCCACACCAGGACAACCCCAAAACCCCTCCAACCAAAGGCCCTGAAA